CACGACACGCACTCTCAGACGACGTCACCGCTCAGGGCCCCTTCGCTCAAGGTCCTCATCCTCACTCCGGAGGAGGCTCCCCTCTCTGGAGCTGGGGCGATGCATGCTTTGGAAGCTTGGGCCACAGCGACCAGCTGAACCACCTGCTGCCCAAGAAGATAGAAGCGTTGGCTGGCCAGCGCGTCGTCGCTGTGTCGGCTGGGCTGCACCACAACCTCGCCCTTACTGCCGACGGCACCGTCTGGAGCTGCAGCTGGGGCGGTGGCTACTTGTACTTCGGCCTGCGTGTCGCGTGTGGGTGTGCGTGTGCCAGACAGGGACGAGGGAGTTTCCTCGCGCACCCTCAGTCGTTTCCTCTCCTGTCAGTGTATTTTTGGGTTGGTCGGCGCCCAATAAAACGAAACGACTTCCTGGGCAACAGCTCCAACTCCAATTCGTCACCGGCCACGGGGGGGGTAAGGGACACGCACACGTTGTGTTGCCGTGTGTTGCCGTGCCACCTGCCTCTCTCACTCGCATGCTCCTCTCCCCACACAAGCTAGAGTCTCCGCACCAGCTGCCCTCCACACGTCACACGTCTCTATCGCTACTCCCTCGCGCTGGGGCCAGCGTTTGTGGCATATATGGGCGTGGGCCCACAGGCAGGGCTGGCGCGGCGAACGTGTTACTCGAGGCCGCAGAACGTCAGACGATCGGCCCCGCGCCCGCGTCGATCCAGACCGGGGCAGCTACCAGAAGCAGCGCCAGCGGGAGGAGGATCAGGCAGGGGAGGCCCATGCCCACCTGGAACACCGGCGAGCCGGTGCCCACCCTGCTCGCCGTGTCCGCCATGGTTGCGGTGCCCCGCCGGGCCGCAGTGCCACGCCGACCAACAACCGTCTGCATCACCGGGACGCCGTGCCTCCGCAGGAGAGCGTAGCTCGCTCCAGCTAGCCTGAACCCTTTGGCCTCCTCCAGCCGGATCGCAGCCGCCTCCGCCTCCGCCTTGAGCTCCTCGTAAAAGACGGGACAGCCCTCTCCCTTCAGGCAGGCGCGGTACTCCTCCTCCTCCCGCAGTTTGGTGGCGCTCGCCGCCTCCCTCGCCGCCTCCAGCTCGGTGCCCCAGTGGAACGAGAGCACGACGGGGGCCAGAGAAGCAAAGCAGCCGAGCGCCGGCCGCGGGTCAAAGTGAGGCTCAAAGCTGAGGCCGTCGCGTGCGGCTGCGCCCAAGGCGTCGACCGCGCACTGGTCGAGCGGGATGAGGGCGGTCGGTGGGTTGGATCGAGTGGCAAGGCCAACGGCAAGCAGAGCTCGAGCAACCATGCCTGATGAGAACGTGATGGCCGCACCTCATTGACACCGCCCTAAAAGAGAAAAAGTATCAGCCAGCATTAAAGAACACTCGTACACAAATTTACCCCTCGATCGCCCCGATCGCCTCCGTCACCACGGCCACTAGCCGCGACGCCTCCCCCTCGCTGCGCGGCCCGTCCCTCCTCCACCTCGCCGCGTCGTGGTGCCTCGCCGCGTTCGCCCAGATGCGCAGCGAGTGCAGCTGGCTCCGTAGCTCGGTCGGCAAGCCGCACTCGCGGTGCCAGTAGTTGATGCGCTCCTCGAAGCCGTCGGGCGCCGCCGCAGAGCGCGAGGCGTAGACGGCGTCGAGGCGCGGCATCAGCGTGTTGAAGGCGAGCAGCATGTTGCCCTGGATGCGCGCCTGCGCGTCGCCGCCCGTGCGCATGCCGCGCACCTGCACCGAGAGCGGCGAAGGCTCGTACCCGGTGGTGCGGGCGGCTGCCGCAGCGGCCTCGTCTCCAAAGGCCGGCGCAGCTTCTTCCACCCCCGCCCCGCCCTGCGCGCCAGACAGCAGCGCCCGGAGCGTCGACAGCGCCTCGGGCAGCGTGGGCCGCTTGCGCAAGCTGTGGTGGCAGAGGCTCTTCTGCCCGTCCCCCGCCTGCGCGAGGTCCTTTACTGCGCGCGCCGCGTCGACTGGCCAGCCCGCAGCCACGTCGGCGAGCTTCACCGCGTCGATGTCGGTCCAGTCCTCCTCGAACTCGTCCTCGCACCGGTCGGTGAGCTGCACCTCGGAGCGGCTGGTGAGGCAGACGAGGAGGGTGATGCCGATGGCGTAGCCGTCCGTCTTGCTCGAGTACTCGCCGCCCTTGGTAATGGAGGGGCAGAGGTAGCCCGTGGACATGTAGAGGGCGGTCGAGCGGCAGCGGACAGACGCGTCGGGACGCTGGTCCTTGGCGAAGCCCGTGTCGGCGAGCACGGCGGTCAGCTTCTCGTCGAGCAGGATGTTGTCCGGCTTGACGTCGCGGTGCACGATGCCCTTCGAGTGGAGGTAGACGAGCGCCTCGGTCGCCTCGCACGCGACACGCACGCGCTGCCGCCACGTCAGCGGCCTCGGCGGCTCCACCATCCCCAGCCGCCGGAGCTGCGCAGCGCGGTCGGGATCCGAGATACGCAGCCGCGCCTCGAGCGAGCCGCCGCGCATCAGCGGCGAGAGGAGGCAGACGCCGTCGGGTGAGAGGCAGTAGCCGAGCAGCGGCAGCAAGTGCGGGTGGCTCACCGCCTTGAGCAGCTTCACCTCGAGCTCCGCCCGCGACAAGCCGCCCGACTGGCCCGACTTTGCCCGCTTGACGACGAGCGGCAAGTGGCGCAGCTGCGGAGGCGCGGCGAGGGAGAGGTGGAGGTTGGCCGACGCCTCGTAGACGCGGCTGAAGCCGCCGCTGCCAATCAGCTTGCCCTCTGCAAACCCGTCCGTCGCCGCGGTGAGGTCCGACAGGGCTATCTCGACGGGCCGAGCAACAGCCTCTTCCGCCGCGGCCGGCGCGGAGGCGACAGACAGAGTTTCCAGCTTCGACTCCGCCGCGCTCACCTCCTCGGCCAAGGCAGGCAGCGCGCCCACGTGCGGCCTGGCGGCAGCGATGCCCGCTCGGAGCGCGGAGGGGCTGTCTGCGGTGTCGAGCGACTTGAGCGCGCCCATCGCCGCGCCATGCGCCTTGCGCAGCCGCTGGCTGTCCCGCCTCCGCGCCTCCTTGAGCTTGTCGCGCGCGCGCTTCGCCGCCGCCAGCACGGCCGGGCTTGCGAGGCCGCTGCACGCCTCCAGCGCACTGGCTAATCTCTCGTACGAGCCAGCGGCCACGGCCTGCTGCAGCGCCTCGTCCGCCGCAGCAATGGCGGCTGCGTCCGGCGGCGGAGGAAATGGGGCTGACGGTGGGGCTGGCGGCGGCAGAGCGGCCGGTGGCCCTGGGGGCCAGGTGTCCCCATTGGGCTGGCCTGTACCCGGCGGCCGGCTCTTCCTTCTTCCTTCGTGTCGTGGGCCCTTTCTTGGCTCTT